TGTAAATTCGTAGAACTGAGAAGTCAGAGCCCACTTGGAAATTCCAAGCAGAGAGGTAACACAGATCTTCAACAGTACTATTATAAAGGCTAGACCTAGAAAATGGATACTAATGTGAAGGATTCAGGTGGGCAAGAACCTTAGGTGAGAAGTACCACTAACCAGGCCACCAGATTTCAGACCAGAGGAAAAGGATATTAGGCTGGCCTCAATATACTAAGAATAGGTTATAGTTCTTCTGGGCTATCTGGATTGGGAGTCTTGGTTCAAAGCAGGAATATACTAAAAGTACTAGGGATATGCTGTGAAGTTAGTACTGGGGTCTGAGTGAACTCTGTAAAGATAGCCTGTATTAGTGTTTTAAAAGTAGGTAAATAGTTAACAACAGAGGTCCCTTATGCCTTACTGACAGGTGATGTATTTTGAAATGTGTAATGGCCTGAAAACCAGTACAAAAAGGGTAGGTACTATACTGCTCAAACAGTATACCAGGTAGGTATATATGGGGAGTTAGTTAGGGATTTCAATATGACAAAGCAGATGATCAGAGAGTTTAAAATAGATAATCTCCTAGTAGGTTATAGGTATGGCATCTAGTGTAGAACCTTAAGGTGGACTACTTAAATAGGCAACCAAAAGTTGTATATGTGGCTAGCTGTACTCTCATCACTGTAAAAATAGTTGTAATAGCTAACCCAATATAAAGTTAATAAAGTATCACTACAAATATGGCCTTTAACAAAAAAAAAAAAAAGATTTATATATCTCTTATATTTAAAATTTTAAATTTAAATCCAAACTTGTTCATAAACTTTGAACTAAACTTAGACCAAATTTATTACTATATTTGAGTTTAGTTCAGATTCAAAAATTATGTATTTAAGTTCAAGTTCAGGTTTGAAATTAATAAAATTTATTGTTTAAGTTTAGTTCGAGTTTAAGTTTAACCTGAACCAAACTAAACTTAAGATCTTTAATTTTAACAAATTTATATAGTCACAAGGACTTATCTAAAGTTTGCACTACCTAATACCAATTTACATTTTTCTGTGCAATATTATATTTATACAGATACTTCATAACCTGCTAGTTATACTGATATAATCATCATTACAGATATCTTAATTCAATTATTGAAAACAATTACTATAATATGAATATTATATAAATAATTATCCAAATTTTTATCTTCAATAGGATTTGAATACCCAACCTACCACTTGGAAGATTGACAGCTTATCCATTTTACAAATCATCATATTTCATTTAAACATTTAATATATCTAATATTTTATTTATTTTATTGTTAAATTGGTACTCTTAGATTACAGTAGTTAAATTAATATAACTTTTAAATTTGTTTAATATATAGTGTAATGTATTTGCATTTGTTAGTTAATTCTTTATTAATTTATAAACTTCTTTATATAAAGTTTTTTTGGTTCTAATAATATTAAAAAATTATGTAATTTGATTAGTTGATTATCATACATAATCACAAGTATATTTACAAAAATTAATCAATAATATAACATTTTCTTAAGTATGAGCATGCCTTTTGATTATATGGCATGCCTATAAGCATGCCCCATGTCTCTGTACCCTGAACCCTAACAGTACGTATACGCATAGCGATAGATGTAAAATTTGATTTTTAACTTTTTTGTATTACATGCAGATCCTGAAATTCTATTGGTTAGATAACGAGGTATTATTCGTAAAGGTTTGATTAATTAGTATATTGGCAGCTCCAATAAGACATATGTTTGACATTACATGTTCTCAACAATCTTTTTCTTAGATGTTTCTCTAACAATCATTTCCTCAACATAAAATTGGCCTGATTTAGCTTTAGGGTTGAATTAGTGTTAGTTAGAATTATATGTTGAAGAATAATTTTCAGGAAAATGTCTTGTCTAAGAAAAAGATTGTCGAAAACATGCTTGTACCAGTAATACAAATCAAATATATATATAATAAAAATATAATACTACTATAATTATATTTTATAAAGCTAAAAAATGTAATTATTATTACCAATTCACATAGTGATTGTAGTTGAAATATCGAAAGATTTTATATAAATATTGGAAAATTTTGAAAAATATATATTTACAGCTGTTTTCATAATTCTGGAACATTTGGCAAAAAAGTGACGAAGCCAATTTGATAAGTTTGTGATTTCGGTAATGATTACTACTGAATCGATTTTTTTGCCAGATGTCCTCGAATTTATGAAACAGCTGTAATGAGTAATTGATCTGACTTAGCCGATTTAGTCGATTTTTAATATTAACCTAGTTGAACCGATAAATTTGTGTCGATTATGAACACTAAATTCACATATCTAGTACTCCTAATGGGTTTGATCTGAATGACCCGAAATTGACTACATAGTAAAATTATTTTATCCGGCAGTAAAGATGAAACTTTTATATCTGATGATCTGGATAATCCGAATATTACTAAATATTCGGATAAAATTTTGATTTCAGATAATTAAACCGATGATTCGACTATCTTATATAATAAGATCGGCAAACTGAGTGTTTATTCGGACTTGTTCTTACATCATAATGATGGGAGAGTATCGGAAGTATCTGCATGATAATAATTCTTTATCCGGTTTATCCGAATATCTATCGGAGTAAGTCACGAACAGATAGGCAGATACAGATAAGCTCTGAACGGATAGACGGATCCTATCTCTATCCGGATGTTTATCTGTCCAATAATTTTATTATTGGGCAGAAAATCATAATAAGCCGCCTGACAACTCTATAATATGGGTCATGACACATATACTAAATTATTACAACTAGATCAGTTTCAGGTCGTTCGGATCAAACCCATTAGGAGCACTACCGTATTTTCGCGAAATAACACACAAGGGGCGTAAGTAATTTCGAATTTTGGACTATATTAAGCTTAATTTAGGTCAATTTGAAATTACTGTGTTATTCCTTCTTATTAATAATATTGACTCTAAATCTTTAAAGAAAAGACTAAGTTGAATTACCAGTATTCTCAGTACTAACCAAAAAAATATCGATGTTATTCGAAATAAAACATGCTGGCTGACAATGCATTGTATTGCATAATTGCATACATATCGATATGTGGAGTTTTAATCAAATTAAAATCGTATGAATTAATTGGAATGTTTTAAATGATTTAATAAAACCTTCACGTTCAGCATAACAATAACGATAACCGCGAGGTAACAGCAAGGGGTGTTATTACGTACGAATTTTGTCTAAATTAATTTAAGGAAATGCCGTTTTTATTACATAAAATTTTTTGAGGTTAGCGTCTATATATTGCTTATAACACACCTATATTCATATTATTTATAAATATTACGATTGGCTGCCGATTTTATCTCCCTGGCTTCTATGTAATAAAAAGAAATTACGTAATAAACAGTAATAAAAAGGGGTAAATGCTGCATAAATTGTATTCTTGATATCTATATAACCCGTTAACATTAACTGAATCAAAAAAGTAACCCTAACTGGTACCTGGCTTTAACGTCCCCCCTAAAAAGGAAATGGATTAGCCTGACATGAATTCCTAACACGCGCGAAGAAGGAAAAAGCGAAAACTAGTGTTTAAATCGACCTTTGTGCACTAATGAAAAATGTCAGGAACGAAATTTTATATACAATGGACAATAATCTACTGTTATATATTTTATTGTTAACGACCTATTCCTAAATTTTTATCTTTACGTACTAGTTGATTTACAAAATTCGATTTCCTTTTTTGGTTTGTGTTACTCGCCAGTACGGGTCGACGTTATTAAGTAATATACTGTATATATATTTTTAGATCCCAATTATATTCTAAACAAGAAGTTCGTCACATATAAAAATCTTTTGACCCGGCTGGTTTATTATTTCACAACTCATTTAATTGTACAATGTTGGGGTAAGCATCCCTCGTTGAATATATGTTTTTGATCACAACTGTCACTATAAGACGGGATAAAAACGATTATATACTATATACTACCTGGACCAATCAATAATTGTACGTACGTATTAATATCGTGGAACAAATACTTTGAATGGGACATTAATCATCTGATCAATTACCATCTATTAACGTTAGGAATTATCGTTACTGATTAAAAACTAAACCTCTTGGCAAACCAAAAGCTATAATCTTTCGCGAAGGCTCGGCAGTGTAATGGATTTTTCTTGTAAAAATGTGTATTTGTTGATTTTTTTTCAAATTTGATTTTTTAAATCATTACTTTATTACTTTTTTTGGAGTGATACAGAATTGTTCTTGCGAAACTATATTGCAGACATGTATTTGTCTTGGAGGTTGCACGCATATAAACAAAATGATACATTTGAATCCATGTGTGTCGTATGTATTTCATCTTGTGTTAATATCAGATATCAATTTTACAAAGGAGTAAAGATATATTTATTAGAGAAGTTAGCTTTACTTGTCAGAACTGGCATGATGTTTTTTTGTTTTCCAGGGTCAAATTAAATTTTTAATATACTACGTAACCTAAATAAAATATTTACAATTTGTTCTAATGAACCTATCATTCATTAATTAATACATGTTTACTAGGTTACTACGTTGCATTGTTTATAGCATTCACTTTCCAGTGTAATGCATGTCACAGCAATCACAATCATGAATTAGCAATTACCTTATTAATCATTGTTTTTTCCTACCATCTTTCTTCTTCGTTCTCTAAATTCTCTCCGTTGGCTTTAACTTTCATTAGTCCTCAAAGCTGCTATTGCAACTAGTTGAGGGCAAACTTTCCTTTATGCAGCAATTATCCGCTCGGTGTGCCAACTACCGTTTGCTGTATCAGCAACGAACCATCAATTCGCGCTTTCTACTTTCATTTAGTACAAAGTAACCCATCATACATCAGTAATCATTCCCAACTATCATAGTTTACCTCCTTAAATATCGAAACTTTCACATTATCACAATATAAATAATAGTTTATTAAAAGAACATTAATGGTCACTACAATACGAATAACCATAATATGGCTTTTGGTCATTGGATTATGTCTGGTTGTATTTGCGAGATTAAGTAAGGGCAATAATGATTTTGAGTTAGAAAAAAATGAGCAGAGCTCGTTCTTGGTGCGCCGTCGTGGTGACTCACCAACTGATAATGTTGACAATACTGTGGAGAGTCCTATAGGTAAATCCAGTAATTTAGGTTCACCCGTAGTTGACAACTCTAATTCTAGTCCCAAAGATACACCTATAGTTGATAACCCTAAGCCCAATCATACGACAAATCCTATAGTTGACGACAGTTCCGTAGATACAGTTAGCGATAAACATAACCCTAAGCCCAGTCCCGTAGATACGGTAGATACGAGTATAGTTGACAATCAACCTGACTCTAAACATCCTAAGTCCAGTCCTGTAGATACGAGTGTAGTTGACAATCAACCTGACTCTAAACACCCTAAGTCCAGTCCTGTAGATGATACGAGTATAGTTGACAATCAACCTGACTCTAAACACCCTAAGTCCAGTCCTGTAGAAGATACGAGTATAGTTGACAATCAACCTGACTCTAAACACCCTAAGTCCAGTCCTGTAGATGATACGAGTATAGTTGACAATCAACCTGACTCTAAACCCCCTAAATCTAGTCCCACAGATACAACTAAAAATAATTCTGACCCTAAGCCCGACCCTTCCGTAGACACAGTTACAGCCAAAGATACACCTGACCCTGAACCCAGTTCCGTAGATACGAATACAGCTAACGATAAGTCTGATTCTAAGTCCAGTAAATCTGACCCTGAACCCAGTCCCACAAGTTCTGATAAAAAGAATAAACAAAATAAAGTCGATGACCCTACGCCCACTCCTGTTGATCCAGTTAATGATGCATCTGTAGTTGACGATCCTCAACCTTCCGTAGACTCCACAGATTCGACTCAACCAAATTCCGCAGTTTCACAAGATTCAAGTCCTACGGATGTATCAAATCCTCAACCTTCCGTAGACTCCACAGATTCAAGTCCTACGAATGTATCAGATCCTCAAGATCCAATACCTACGAATCCTACAGATTCTCAAGATCCAATTGCCACAGACCCTGTAGATTCTTCAAATATCACGGATTCTCCAGATTCTTCAAGTCCCACAGATTCTCCAGATTCTTCAAGTCCCACAGGTTCTTCAGATCCAATTCCTACGGATTCCTCAGATCCAAGTCTCACGGATTCTTCAGATCCAAGTCCCACAGATTCTCCCGATCCAAGTCCCACAGATTCTCCAGATTCTCCAAGTCCAACAGATTCTCCAGATTCTCCAAGTCCCACAGATTCTTCAGATCCAAGTCCTACGGATTCTTTAGATCCAAATTCCACAGATTCTCCTGATACACCAAGTCCCACTGACCTTCCATCAAGTCCCACAGATTCTCCTGATACACCAAGTCCCACTGACCTTCCACCAAGTCCCACTAACCTTCCACCAAGTCCTACGGATTCTCCACCAAATCTCACGGATTCTCCAAATCTCACGGATTCTCCAATTCTCACTGATTCTCCAATTCTCACGAATCCTCCATCAAGTCCCACAGATTCTCCACAAAGTCACACGGATTTACCACCAAACCCCGCGAATCCTCTATCAAGTCCTATTGATCCTTCATCAAGTCCCACGGGTCTTCCACCAGGTCCCATGCTCACAGGTTCGCCAATAAGTCCTACTGATCCTCCACAAAGTCTCGATGGTTCAAATCATAACACAGTATATCAAGCAAGTCCCACAGGTTCTCCAGGAGATAGTCATCCAAGTTCCACTGATGATTTAATAAATAATCAACCAAGTTCTACAGCATATCCAAACAATCCAAACATTGCTTCCTACCCAAGTTCTACAGCATATCCAAACAATCCAAACATTGCTTCCTACCCAAGTTCTACAGCTCCTCCATCCGTTCAACCAAGTTCCACATATCCATCTAATGATAATGTGAAGAATTATCCTGCGGATTCTACAAGTAGTGCAAGTAGTGGAGCACCTACCACAAGGGTTTCTTTTGATCCGGTTGCAAGTATTCCATTGCCCTTGGTAACAGGCACTCAGACAGTTGATCATCCAATGACCACTGATTATCCCTCTAAGATTTTAACTCCAGATTCATCTCAAAACGTTCCACGTAAGTTTTCGAACGATAGACATTTTATACAAATATTTATATAAAATACTAACGAATTTATTTGATCTTATAGAAGATTATTCTAAACTATCCATGTCGTTGTCACCAGCTCTTCAGTGGGATTCAGTGGTTCAAAATACAGACATTCCAGCTGTCATAGCAGCTCAAATAAAACAATCTGTTGCAAATTCACTTGGAATCTCATCTGATAATGTAATAATTCTGAGCATAGAACGTAATGATGATGGTAGTGTTAAGATCAATATTGCAATTCCCAATAATTCTGTTGATGATTTAAAAACCCTTGTAAGCGATCCGAATAGCAGTTTCTATCAACAATCACAAATTTCTAGCCTAGTAACTTCTTTAAATGATAATAATGATGGTAATGATAATGGAGGAAATGGAAATAGTAGCCCGGAAGGATCACAACATTCATCATTGGTTTTGGCAGCAGTTTTTGGATCTGCATTTTTATACACAGCAGCAACAATACTAGCAGTTCGAGCTTATAGGAAACGTAAAGCCCGTTCTGAAGCTGATGTGATGGAAGAACATGATTGGACATAAATAATATACTAATATATATACTACACATTAAAATTGAAACTTAATCTTTTCTATGGGTAAAGTTAGAAAAATATTAGATTTTTTTAGAATTATTTTTCTTTATGGACCTTTACATTTGCATAAATTTTTTTTTTACATGTATATTTTTTCCATTCAGTTAAGGTATAACAACCTTTTTAAAATCCCAATATTTTAGTTTAGGTACAATCCTCAACATTTAGTAATTTAATTAATATCCCTTTGCTTAAATTGGATTTTATATGTTTTTTTTTTTTTTTTTTATGGGACAGTTTTGTGGATCATTTTAATTTATTACTATATTTGTATATTATAAAAATAATTATAGTTGTTATAGTAGTAATGATAAAAAATATAACAGCTCTAGCATTCAAACTTATGAAAGAAAAACATAGTATCATCAAAATTTTGGTCATCATAAATTTATACCAAAATTTTTTTTTTTTTTTTTTACTTTATTAAATGTATTTTTTCCTTTTTTTTTTCTTTTATCAATCCGATTATTTATTTTTATTATTAAGCAATTTTTTATATATCTTTATCAATCAATAAATGTAGCCAATATATGAAACATTATATCAATGGCAATTGCTTAATAATTTATGAAAAAGTTTAACGCGTATTTATATCGTATTTATATATATTTATATATTTTTTCATTTACATTGTAAAAAAAAAATTTATTAACTTTCCTAATATGATCAATCAATGTCACAAATATGTGTATAAATTATCTGAAACTATTAAAATTCTGTCAATATAATGAATGTAAAAAATAATTTTGATAGGAATCGAATTAAAGAACGTTATAAATTATTTTGATATATAATAGTAATTATTCTTTTCAGAGGTGACTAGCACACTCTGTTTTGTAAAAGAGTGATTTAGTTTATAAAACAATTATAATTTAAATGAAAAAAAAATAAAGAATGAAGGAAAAAAAAAAAAGTATAAAACCCAAGTATTATGTAATGAATTTATGGAAAATAAGTATTTTGATGAATTAGAATGATATAGAAACCGTTTTGTTTTTTGAACCCAAAATAATGCACTTTCTTTCTTTTTTTTTTTTACTATCATTAAATCCTAATAAGATGGTTTCTAACATTACTTTATCATCTTCAAATGATGGAATTCTAAGTAAATACAATCAGATACATTCAATCCTCTACCAAGAAAATACAGAAATACAGAAAATACAAGAAAATATTACAAATAAAAGAAATAACCAAGGTAAAAAAATCCTTATTGGTACATTAATGGCACGAATTCTAAAGTTTCATCAAATACGTATATTTTAATCGGTGACCGATGATCTCTCATGTTGATCTAATATCCAAGCAGCAACAAATTCCGACTTTTCACCATTCTTAGTTGGCTTTTTTACAACATCAGGTGTTGATACCACAATTTCTGGTAATATTGAATTGCGATTTATTGAAGAAGAAGACAAACTATATCGATAATTACGTTTCATAGGAGATTTTCTTGATGTTTCTTGTGTTTCGTTATCATTATATGAAGGTGGTGGTGGTAAAAGAACAGAATCATTTTTATCAAACTGTTGATTATTTGAATCACCTGAGACACTCCATACCCCGAATGAAAAATGACGTTGTGATGGAGAAACTTGTATAAAACTAAGATCAAAGGCATCTTCTGGATTTGTTTGACCGTATAAGACTAAAATTATGCATAAAATCATTGAACATGATGATATTATAGTAATCATAACGGCGACAATTTTGGAAGCCCATGGAGTTAATAAAATTATATTAAGATATAAAGATATCGCAATTGCACCAAAACAGTCTAATAAATATTTTGCGCAAAAAAAACCATTTATAACATTCAGCTATGATAATAAATAATAATAATTAGTTTATAATATTATAAAATTTGGGAATATAATTAAAATTAAAAAAATAACTTACCCTTGTTATTGAATTTCTCATTAGTCTTAAACGACCATATTTACTAGAATCCATATCGGTATCCATCAATAAAGCAATACTAGCTTCAGCAAATCCTTTAACTTTTCTTCCAAAATAAATAAAACAAAAAGCTAATGAAGCGCTACCAACAGCATGAACCATATAATGAGCACTGTTAATACAAGCTTCAAACATCATATTGTCATGGTCTTGTTTTTGATATGGCTTTGGAGCCTGAGCCCATTGAGAACGAAAATAACCAGTGAGCAATCCAAGAGTAGCAAGTGATGGAAAAATAATAATAGAATAAATACGAAAAAACCATATCATTGTTTTATGGGATGATATAGTAATTCGAAATGATTTTTTTGAGTTGGTCGTTTTTTGAAGCGGATTACCCGCAAGTCTTGTATGTGGAATGGCACTTAATCTTTTTTTATCGGTATAAAAAGGGATAAAAAGAGATAAAAAGAGATAATAATAAGAACACCAAATAATGTAATAATCCAGTATTAATGTTAAACACTTACATTCCGATCATGAAAAGAATTATTGAAACTTGGTCACAGTAATATGGTATATCATATACAAGCTCTGATACAGCATCTTCATTTTGAGGTAAACCAACAAGAATAATGATATCACTTGCAATTCGAGCTAGAATAAAAACGGGAAAGTTAGAACATACTTAAGTCTTAACAAATAAGGGTGTTTATTAAACTTACTTAATGCATGCAGAACTTGCCATATCAAAAAGCCATCAAGACTCGATACTCTTTGTGTAGACTTTGTGTAAAAGCGTCTTTTCCACCAAAGACCTCCGGAAATGATTGCCAATATGGAAGCGAGGGTTATTGAACAATAATTTACAATTTCATAAAAAAATACATCTTCACATGTATGAATATTTATGTAGAAGCTAAATTGCAAACGTCATTGATCGAATGTAAAGGTATTTATATAAATATGATATGAGTTAAAATATTATAAACGTAACTTATAAAGCTAGAAAACACATTTGTGATGAACGCGGCGAGTGAAACCAAAAAGTCTAAATATATATTATTACTATTATTCTTGGTATTATTCTTACTATTATCCTTACTATTATTCTTACTATTATTCTGTATTTAGACCACCTGGTTTCACCTAACGACATTCAAATATTACTCACCGACAGTATTGAGGAACCAAATTAGGTTCTGTCTTGAAGGGTTCCAGCATTGAGATCCTGATCGCATTAGCTGTACTGAGCGAACAACTTATTTTGTAATGTTATTGACCTGCAACTAAAGAAGAGCACCTTTAACTTGCCCTTCTTCCCGCTTCAACGTCTTTTGTAATGATATCGTACAATAATTTTTTTTTTTTTTTTGTTTTTTTTTCTTTGAATTTATTCAAGAAAAAAAAAAATCCTTCTTTGTCAACGATTTAACGAAGGTGGTTGGTGGTAAACATCAAAGAAAATCAAAGTAATTCATTACGGACTATCGACATACATAATAACTCTAAATAAGTTGTTTTTTTTTTCTGTGCTGCAACATAATTATATGGTGTTAGTTATATGTTACCGTTATCGTTACCTGTATCACGGTCTTAAAACCACGTTTCTGCTGTAACACATCAAAACCTCGATATGGACATTGACGTATTGACACGCTATGATGTGTATGAAAAACATTTGATCCACACAAATAGGTATAAAAAAAAAAATCTTTTTATGATTAGGTGACTTATGCAAAAATCTGTATGACCTGAGACAAGGAGAATATTTAAATTTAGAGAATGTAACCTTGGTTATCATTGAAATCACATATTTCGCTTTACTTGCACACAACGTCAGTATACAAATTGAATCCAAATTTTACTATTTTTAATTAACATGATAGATAATAAATTAAATAATTAATAATAATAATAATAATAATAATAATAATAACGATAATAGTAATTAATAACGATAATAAATTAATGTATAATTTATAATAACTGATAAATAAATTCGGTTATTAGAATCTATATTCTAGTCCGGGTTACATGACTTACCGCATGCCTCAAATTTGAAGAAATTAAATTGTTAATTAAATTTATTAGATTTATTTGATTAATAAGGTAATTTATTAGTTTTTTTTTTCTGTTTGCAATAATACTTTTATCACAAATAACCAATTAGTTCATCAGATCCTTTGACATTACATTACTATACCGAAACTGAAATATAGAACAGCAATTTTCTATGTTGAATCTGGTTTAGGTATTACATGTTGAAAATCTAATAATAACGATAAGCAATATGCTACTTTATATAAGGTGTAACTATCGATCAGAATAATGTACCCGATCATAAGCATTATTAGGATCCGGAGAAACATAATCCATATCCGGATTCATTTCTACGTAGTGAGTTAAACCAATTTCCTGATAAGAACAGTATTTTCATACGTAATCACCTAATATTACTAATTTCGTCTTTATCAATATGTAGTTATAGTATGTAAAACACGGATGAAACTTATCTGAAGAATTCTGATAATTGAGGTTCATTTAATAACGGTAAATTTGGTTCATTTCATTATACATATCGACATGCAAATCGTTTTAGTAATGTACAATTATGCATTTTTGGGTATATGTATACGCATACATACTGTACGTGCGTACTGGAAAATGTGAACCATTGAAGATCCAAAGTAGAAACCACAATATGTGTTACTGTAATAGAAGTAAAGCAGATTTATTAGAGAAGCCTATTGACAGCAACTCAATATTATTTATCCTCGCTCCTAAATATAGATATTTCAAATTCGATATCTCTCTGATCCAAATAGGGAAACTTGATGACACCAATTTGGACATTAAATCTAGCAAGCTTTGTACATAAAAACTTGATTCAGTGTTAGTCTCAGACGATACTGAACAAATGAATGCTAGCTATATGAGCAACGTTATACTATCTAATAAAGGATTCTCTGACGACATCTGCACATTTGCATAAAACTTTCGCTGAACCTTAACATTGTTGGTAAGATATGTGTTTATTTGTGTGTGTGTGTGTGACTTGAAAATAGCCAATCAGAGAATGTAAATTCCAATCTTTCTGGATCAGCCCGACTTAAGATTTGACGCGTGCAGAACGAAGAAAAGTGATAATAATAAAAAAAAGGTAATAAATCAATCTTGTTGCACTAAATGAAACGTAACTTTACATAGAAAAAGTAATCATTATTTTTTACGATAGATTTCCCCTTCTGGTTTTGTCTCGTTGTTGTGCAACATTTAATTTAATGAATGTATTCGGAACTTGCCGTAGTAAATATAAAACTTGTAAAACCATCATTACATGCGCGATAAATTCCAGTGTTTCCTTGTACTCCTCAAAGTGTACTCCTCAAAGATAAATCAAGAATTTCCTAATAATATATTCTTCAATACCATGTGATGTTTGGGTATGGTTCAGCATGCTGAAGTATAGGATCAGAATTCCTACTTAATAATTCCTTTAATGTTTAACTCATCTAATACTGTAATATGCATATGCATATATGTATGTATGTACGTACGTAATAGAATTATTGCGATACAAACTTATTTATTTTTATGGTCTTCAAGAATGCAATACCTTTATTATTTCGGAATCCCCGAATGCCCGAAATACCGAATTCCTTATTAAGAAGTTTAGTAAGTTCTTCGTTCACACAATTACTTTCAAGAAAAATCTTATACGATTTTTAATAGTATTTCGTGTGCAATCTGTTGAGGGGCAACTTCGTAATTTCGTTCATAAATTCCGCGAAACATTCACTTATCTAAGAGTTATCAAAGATTATATAATATGCTTTATGCTGTGCGATAGTGCTTATCTTCCTACCTTCCTATCTATATACCTAATACTAACCCCCGATAGTTTTTAAATTTTTATAATCCAAGTTAATTAATGCAAATAAAATACATGATTAGAATACATGATTAGATATAAGATTATAGCTTAAATATTGATATATTTTATTTCATTAGTAATACAAGTAAAATGATTATTTTCTTTATGCTACCACTGATAAGAAATTTACGATAAAAAATATATAACTGATAAGAATGTTCTTAATCGTAAAAGTTTCATATCCCAATTTTTTAAATTGGTGCAATAGTAATGGATCTTTATCTATTTAAATTTCAAATTTCAAATGCACAAAATTTTTATGGTAAGAAATTCCTGCTGTTTGCACTCGGGTACCTTACATGAAATCAATATCGATATGTAAATTAACCTATCGCTATTGATATTTTAAATCTTTAAAGGTGTTCAGTCAATACATTAAAGTTCTCTTGACGTGCTCAAAAAATTGTATATTTTGCAGTGGCCCGAACTGAAAAACTGAACTTGGCTTATGATTTTAAATAATATGTGTGGTTTCGACATAACTGATAATAATCGCCTACTTAACGTCAATCCAGAATCATAACCAAACCGAAAAGTGAAGACCGTCTAAAGTATTTTTTTTAAAATTGATTACTGATCTACTTGTAAACTTTAAATCATAACATATGTAAATAATACAAGGCTTTAACCGAATTTCAACACAAAAATAATTAAAGATTCTTACGTAGCAAGAACTCGAACAAATCAGATCCAAATATTTAAATATTTATAAATATTTATAAATATTTATAAATATTTATAAATATTTTTTTTTAAATATTTAAACTTTTTATAAGTTTTGATTTTTATTGGTTAAAATTTTTTAGTTACTATATATAGATTACTAAATTTTGATTTTGCTCAATATTAGCAATATTAAAAACTTATCTGGCAACTTATCATGATTCGTCTACCAAATTTATTTCTTATTTGGCAGAAACTACATAGTTGCCGAATAATAAAATCGTTATTATAAGAAGAGTATATAATTAGTTACTTATATAACTTTAGTTATTGTTTAATTTAAATAGTTTGTTTGAAGGTTCTATACTAGTTGCTATACTTAAAACCTATTTGTGAGTTTTTTATTTTTATTTTTTTGTGTTAAGATAAGGCCTTGCTTATATCTTTATTAGTAATTTTAGTTGTATATATTAATATACTATATATTAAAGATATATTAAAATTATAAATATAAAATAAAAATTACATGCAAGAATAAAGCTTAGACAACTTTATCTGTAACCTAAACTAATATGTGTTTTTTTATTTAAACATTCTGGTTTTTATATTTATCTATTTATTTATTTTATTAATTGTTTCAGTTTTTACTAGTACAAATATGTTATAATTACTAAGTTTTTAAAACAGTTCATTTATATAAAAAACTTTTAATTTTGTATTAAACCTACTAATATCTTTTATTATTCTAATTTTTATCTAATTTGATATTTTATTATAGTTAAGATCAATACTTGTAATTAGAACTAATCATTAAACTACTATATTCTTGTAAAGTTTATACAATCTTAATATTCTCTTTTATAATCTTACTAATATCTTATATATTCTTACAACTTTTTCTATATGACTAATTTAATTAGTTTTGTATAAAATGATTTTATAATCAAAAACTAGTTAGTTAGATTGATGAATCCTTTTTATTTAGAAGTTATTGCTTATATAAGTTATTTATTTTAGATTTTCTTTTTTTAAATCAAAATTTTCAAATATAATATTATTAAAAATTGTATTATCTATCTATTCAAGATTTTTAACTAAAATTTTTTATTCAGTATATATATTTTAAATTTATTTATATAATATTACAT